CTTTGAGCAATCCCTTTTGCAAATTGACGAATTGTGAATTCATTTCCATAACGCGCTCTTACTCCGCTGCTATAACTGCAAATGCCATAGAATCCATAATTTTCTTCAAATAAGTAAAATCAAACAAGTTTCCTATAAATAAGCACTTGATGAGTGTTTTTTTAACTCCTTTCCACTTTCACCCCTATTGCGAGTGTCGACTAGTAGTAGATAAACGACTCTTATTCGATTATCGCCTTTCCATGGTATTGTGAATGTCGATTTCTCGTTCAATAAGCGACTGTGAATAGTTTTTAACAGAGTTGGGCATTGTATTGAATATTGTATTGAATAAATTGTTATTTAGATAATTATTCGAATAAAATTTTATCCGTAATATAATTATTCGCAATTAATTCATTCACGAATGAATTACTACGTTTATACGTAAGTTATTTGCAAATAAAAATAATTTGCAAATACCTAACTCACTGTTTATTCGATGGTGAAAAATTCGTTTTTAATATTGCCTGATTATAAAAAAGGCAATAATATGACTATCGAAAAGGAAAATGAAGTTAAAAATGGCAACGTCTTGATTATTAAAAGACAATAAGATGACCATCGAAAAAGAAAATAAACCTAAGAATGGCGGCGTCTTGCGCTGATTTGCAAATAGTACCACTAATCAATACTTATTTGCGTGATTTAGTTATTTGCAAATAAAAAATTAACTCAGCGTCTATACGGCAAAATTTACCATTTCGCAAATTGTTATTTGCAAATAATACGTGCGTATAAACGTAGTAAATTATTCGTGAATAAATTGCTTATGAATAAATTATTCGTGATTTTATTCGTTATAAAATATTTTTAAAAATTGATTTATAACACACTGAACAACGTTTTACTTTTATTTCTATTGTCAAGGATTGTGAGTTAGTTGAATTCTGTTAACTATTTTATCAAGAATACTAGCGCTTGTTTCGCGGCCCCTGATAAGATCTTTTGCGTTAAAATGCCAATATGGGTAAAGTTGAAACAACTAAAAAGCGGAACCCTTCTCACACATATTTCTGCAACAAACCCCCTTTGATGTCATAAGCTTTATCGACGGCCTTATTTCCACCTGTGAGATCTTGTCTAGGCGTGCGTAATCTAATCTTCTTCTTTGATCTTGCAACTACAAGATTGGCCCGATGCGTCAACCTCTAGTCTTATGTCATGTAAGCCAACAAAAGTCCTTATAAGGAAGCTGAAGACCACAGATGCGCGTTTTCTATTATAGGATAGCCAAAAATTCTCGATGTTTCACAGGACGAAAAGTTTTCCCGCACGTTCAAATTTGACCATTGATATACCAACCGTGGTCTTTCTTGGAAGGATGTGGTCGAAACTTTCCTTGCTAATTCGCCACTTTTAAAATATCCAAAAGCTGGTTTTTGTTTTTTTTTTTGTTTTATTATTATATTCGTTATTCGAATAATTAATGAAGATAATAATTATTCGAATAACGAATAAAATAATTTATCCATCATTCGAATAATTTTTCTTTGAATAAACCAAGTAATTTATTATTTACGAATAACGAGAAAAACAATTTATTCATTTGTTATTCGTAATTCGAATAAATTTTGCCCAACTCTAGTTTTTAATCGCTCATCCTTCTACAACTGTTTTCTTGTAGAACGATGAGCACAGTATAGACACTAGCCAACCTTTTTGGGTTGTTGTTGTAGTAATCGCTGTTGCTGTAGCTTTATTCACCCTTAAGGAAGGCACTGGGTTGTATGCTGCTATTTAATGGCCTTCCTCAGACTTTTGTTTAGATTTCAGGGTTGTGTGTGGCATTATTATTAGATAAATAAATTTAAGCATTTGACAAATCGTGATTTTATTAAAAGAAAATTATAAATGGTGTTGAAAAACCAAACAAACGCTCATGCGAAAGCTCTAGTTTTGTGTGTTGTTAAAATTTATACATGGCGTATTGATGGTAATACAAGCAATGTATTCTTTTGTGGATTTGATGTTACTTGAGAATTTAGACAACGTGCGATTCGCCAGGTTCTGTTATCAATATAATTAACACAAGCTTTTCCGCGCGGTTGCCTTTCAATAAATAGAATAAACAAATATTCGCAAAAAAATTTTATTTATTTTATAACTGACAACTAACGTACGCTTTTTGTTCTTTTCTCCATTTTGATTTTGACTCTTTATTACCGCCAACTTTGTGTATACATATTTACAACTGTCAAAATTTTGCGTAGTCCCACGAGCTAGGTAAAAATTATGGCGTTCATATTCACGAGAAATCTCAAAATTGTGTAACCAGTTAGCGACAAGTTTCGGATCAATATCGCACTTGTTGGCGTAAAAATATTTCATATACGTCAACAAAACCGATACCGATTCGAAAATTGTCACTAACTGGTTACAGAGTCTGCCTACTAAAATGATATCGTCCGACTCAGCTGCAACAAAAATGCTTCAAACTAGTAAGAGTTTCTCTTTATTAAGGCGTCGAACCGACATATATACATCTTTCATTTGAATCAGTATTAAAAGCTCTATTGGCTCCTACATTCGGGTTTTGATAAGCGAGTCTCCCCTGAACCGGCTTTCCCATATTTTTGGCCTATGTGCGCTTTTATTCGAAACCTAAATGTTTCGGTACCGAGTATCAAGAGTATTGGATACTTGAAAAGTATTGACTCAGCGCATCGCTACTGCTGTCATCTCTACTGTGACGTCAGCAAAACAGCTGATTCTGTCAAATTCACTGAGAGCCGATTAGCGGTATCGCCATCGGCGCCACCTTCTGTATTCTCTCCACCGTGATTCAATTCACACGCACTTATTGGACGAGAAAGCAACTTTGAAAATACCACGGATATTCGATAATCGACTAACAATCGTTTATCTACTACTAGTCGACAACTCGCAATTGTTTTGTTTATTTTCCTTCATACTGCTGACTTCGAAAAACAACTAATAGCTGCAATGCTGCACATGTTCCCGCACGGGTTGCAGCATGTCGATTTTTCGTTTTTCGTACGAATTACGAAAATTCGGGTTCTAGAATAAGGGTGTAAGAAAGAAGCAGATTCTCATCTTTTTGAGGTTGCTGATTACAAATGGCGAATCCAACATGGCGGCCAAAAAATTAAAAACGATTCGATCCGCTTGATGGCGGTCATAATATGGGAGCAAAAAAAAATTAGCTCGATCAAAATCGCTTGAAATGTTTTCCATGGGTATTTTCAGGGTTCGTGATTAAGAATCTGAAGTTAGATCGGAAGAACTTTAAATGGCGGGCCCAATATGGCGACAAAAAAAATTAAATCGATTAGATTCGCTTAAAACTTTACAATCAAGGGTTCTGAGGGTCTCTCATTGAGTAACACGTTAATAAGAGCCTGATATGATTTTAAATTCGTAATCAGAGGCCTTAAGAACCGTTGTTTGTAAAGTTTTAAGCGAATCTCATCGATATAAATTTTTTTCTCCATATTGGGTCCGCCATTTTGAATTTTTCCAAAACGAAATACCACTTGCAACGCCATTTTGTAACCTGCCACCAAAACTTTTTTGGAAATTTCAAAGAGGATGAAGAAAATTATTGTTTGCCTATCTGAACTCAATATACAACCTTTATAGCAGCGCATCACGTAAAATCGCTAGGATTGGAGACATTCTTCCATTTGAGAAAAAAATGTCAACAAATATCCTGCAACCTTCGCGCAGGATGGCCCAAAAAAAAAATTAAAATTAAATCAAGTATGGTCAGGAGATTAGAGTTTCTCCATCCTTGATTTAAGGTGTCCTCATTAAATTTTATTGAAAATTGCTTCAATTGTGGGATTTTATAAGCGAGGAATATCACAAGGATACAAATAAAAATGTATTTAGCATGCAATATATATGATGTAAAAAAGCGCAAAGATTCTTCCCACCAAATGGTGGAACTTTTCAGCTACTAGGCCGCTATCATTTCTTAACGTACTGTATTATTCCATATACCTATATGTAAATACTCGCATTTTTAAAAATTTTCATTCACTAATAATACAGAAAAAATAAACTTGTACTTTGTTAGCTTAATTTAAATTACGAAAAAAATATTCTCAGTGTACACATAAATTTTGTAGATGTATCGCTTATCTTACGGCACTCAAATTTTACAGGAGAGCGAAAAAAAAACTGTTTTTCTTTGAAGGCATTGACTCGATAGGCAGTATTTTCCATACCCAGTATTTTACAAATCTGTTTTAATAACGATTTTTATGCATACATCTCGATGCCTGGAGTTCATGGTTACCAAATCTCATTTGGCGATTTAGGCGGTTTTGCAAAGACATCGACGATATAGTTTAAGACATTATTACGAGGCTCAACACGTCTTTTCAAGCCCCTAAATAACATTATAACAAATTTGTCAAACTTACCTAAAGGCATTATCATCCCTGTCACAGATTTCCCTTAAAAGTTTCCGGAAAACTATTTAAATGTAAATAGCAAAATTAATATTAAAGATGCACGCCAGTACATAAAGGGCCATTCACATACAACTTTCCTCGCTTTGCTTGACAGTTCAAGCTTTGACAACAAAGCGTGAAACGCAGAAGGTATGCTACAATAAACGCTTTGACAGCTTTTGCGTTCACCTTTTCCTCCATATTTTTTATCTGTAAAATAGATAGCAATATAATAATATGCATTAATAATAGCAATAAAAATTCCTACTTACCCTATTTTTGTCATTAAATCCATATGCAAGCGCACGAGAAAATATACATGTTGATTGCCAAAGCGGGCAAAAGTTGAGAGTTGCCCAAGATTTTGCTTCGTTTTGCTTTGCTTTGCTTCAAACGTTTTTTATGTGAGCATACTCATGCATATGCCTACATCGATCTTATATGTCAAAGCAAAGAACTATCAAGCAAAGCGAAGAAAGTTGTATGTGAATCAGCCTTAAACATTATTAGCTTGGGCATCAGTAAATAATTTAGCAGAACAATTTTTGAATAGGATATACAATATTGGATTATTATTACTTAGAATCAAAGAGAAAGTATTTTTCTTTCTTATTTATTTAAAAAGCACCAAGTTAAAATTTTTTAAAACTCTTTTTGGTTCCCTGCCCCTTGGTGACTTTAAGAACGTTGAAACGCACAGTTTTAGAAAGTGGACGACACTCGCCAACTGTAACTATATCACCGATTTCGACATCTCTGCAAATAAAAAATAAATAAATATTACATCCATTTTCTATCTAAAGCTATCTTAAGTTTGATAATTTCAAATCAGTGTTCTAGTGGAATGTCAAGTTTTTTCAGCAATTATGTTTCTGAAGACCGTCATGATTTTATCATCATTTATAGAATAAAAGTACTGTTAAACGTATCAATGCAAGCATATATGATTTCTGTCAAACTTAAGAATTTCGCTAATTAATTGCTCAAATAGCCACACAATTCATGTAAAGTTACCTTTGAAAATACTCGGACATGGTGTTTTCTTTTCGGAGATATTTCAATGAGCACGAATTTTTACTATTTCACACTACTCTCCTAATACCCTAGACCAGGGGTTCCCAAACTTTACTCACCGCGGCACCCTTGCTGTGCTAAAAAAAAATTCGCGCACCCCTGTCTCCCAAAACAAGAAAACACAATGCAAACTTTATGCTCCTTTAGCTTTAATATGGGGACTGAAATTGTTTTGATGATTTCATTATTTCCTTTAAGTTTATTGGGAGCTTTGACAATTTTACCCTGAAATCATTTGACGCTGACTTCACAAAAAGGAGAAGGTTAACAATTCGTATGAATATTTTTTTATTAATTTTTTTTTTTTTTATTTATGTTATCACATAACCTTGGCGATTACTATAATTCTTTTTTAGAGAAAAGGTGTTCCCTCACAGGCGGTCCCATTCTAATTTGGTTTAAATCCGATCATTGGATCATGAAGAGATAACCAATAATCTTAAATCTGTATATGAGAATTGAAGTAGTTTTTGTTTTTTGCTTAAAAATTATTTTTTATGTAAGCATTTGTTGAAAATGCAGTCTCACATAGAAATGTAAGAGTAAAAGTCACTAGTATTTTTAATGTAATCTGTTTTCTGCATACACTTGCATCCAGAACTCTCTTGGCTCCCTTCGTAGTATTTAATATTCAAAGTGCTGTCTTCACTGATGTCCAGAAGGTTTTCAAAAGCTTAATTTTTCATCGCAGTAGGTTTACTTTTCGGGTCACATGAAAACGGATTTGTTATCCAGCTGTAGACATCCTCCGAGTCAATGTTGGGAAAATATTCGGCAATGATTTTTTCTAAACCTTCCACGTTAACGCTGGTAATGCGCGTTAAAGCTAAGAAAATAACTTTTACAGCCAATTTCACGAAAGCAATTTAAGTGAAAAATGATTTTAATTTTTGGAATTTTAAATGGAAATTGACAGAAAATAAAAAATCATTTTCCATTTAAATTGCTGGTGAAACCGGCTGTTATCAATTTTCTTGGCGTTAACTTCGAAGTTACATACGCTTTTCTGATTTACTTTGTTTACTTATGGGGTTTTCATGCAAATCGCTAGAAATTCTAAAATATACATACATGTCACCAATAAAAAAATCACGTGCTAGAAAAAAACCAAAGATGTATTTTAACTTCCCAGGTCTCTGTTATCTTCGCAGCGTCATCCAATACTGGTTTTAAATCTAGTGGCGGCATCTTCGTAGTCGCCAGGGAATACCGACGGATCATACAGTGACTTCTCGTGGCGTTTTCTGCCTTCTGCTTCGTCCTAGACATCGCTCCATTCATTTTTCCAACCACTGCAAATATCCGCACACTTGCTCCATTTCAAACCATTTTTCTGTAAAAATTTGTCGATAGCTTTACAAATTTCGTCACTAGTGGTGTAAGTCTCAAGTACTTCGCTCATCAAAAGTTCTTCTTCGATTTGCACTCCGAATGGGTACCTCATTAACACGAGAAGAACATTAAGTCCCACTACGTCGGTACTTTCGGCAAGTTGCAAAAAAAAACTTCACAAGTTTTCAAACTTNTATGTTATCACATAACCTTGGCGATTACTATAATTCTTTTTTAGAGAAAAGGTGTTCCCTCACAGGCGGTCCCATTCTAATTTGGTTTAAATCCGATCATTGGATCATGAAGAGATAACCAATAATCTTAAATCTGTATATGAGAATTGAAGTAGTTTTTGTTTTTTGCTTAAAAATTATTTTTTATGTAAGCATTTGTTGAAAATGCAGTCTCACATAGAAATGTAAGAGTAAAAGTCACTAGTATTTTTAATGTAATCTGTTTTCTGCATACACTTGCATCCAGAACTCTCTTGGCTCCCTTCGTAGTATTTAATATTCAAAGTGCTGTCTTCACTGATGTCCAGAAGGTTTTCAAAAGCTTAATTTTTCATCGCAGTAGGTTTACTTTTCGGGTCACATGAAAACGGATTTGTTATCCAGCTGTAGACATCCTCCGAGTCAATGTTGGGAAAATATTCGGCAATGATTTTTTCTAAACCTTCCACGTTAACGCTGGTAATGCGCGTTAAAGCTAAGAAAATAACTTTTACAGCCAATTTCACGAAAGCAATTTAAGTGAAAAATGATTTTAATTTTTGGAATTTTAAATGGAAATTGACAGAAAATAAAAAATCATTTTCCATTTAAATTGCTGGTGAAACCGGCTGTTATCAATTTTCTTGGCGTTAACTTCGAAGTTACATACGCTTTTCTGATTTACTTTGTTTACTTATGGGGTTTTCATGCAAATCGCTAGAAATTCTAAAATATACATACATGTCACCAATAAAAAAATCACGTGCTAGAAAAAAACCAAAGATGTATTTTAACTTCCCAGGTCTCTGTTATCTTCGCAGCGTCATCCAATACTGGTTTTAAATCTAGTGGCGGCATCTTCGTAGTCGCCAGGGAATACCGACGGATCATACAGTGACTTCTCGTGGCGTTTTCTGCCTTCTGCTTCGTCCTAGACATCGCTCCATTCATTTTTCCAACCACTGCAAATATCCGCACACTTGCTCCATTTCAAACCATTTTTCTGTAAAAATTTGTCGATAGCTTTACAAATTTCGTCACTAGTGGTGTAAGTCTCAAGTACTTCGCTCATCAAAAGTTCTTCTTCGATTTGCACTCCGAATGGGTACCTCATTAACACGAGAAGAACATTAAGTCCCACTACGTCGGTACTTTCGGCAAGTTGCAAAAAAAAACTTCACAAGTTTTCAAACTTTTAAGTTCATTCTCGACTGCCTCTAAAATCGTGTTAATTCGCTCTTTCACAGTGTGATTGTGAAGTTCCAAAGAATATGTAACATATACTCGTGCGCGAAGCTGCTGCGCTTTTCACGAGAACAGCCCAGACAGCCATAAATCCGAAAATTAATCCGAAAACGGGAAGAAAAAACGCGGATTAGCTCTACGAAAGTACCGAAAACGGTTGTGAAAAGCGTACGTTTTCAGCAATTTTTCTGATTCAATTGTTCGTTGACAAAATGTACTGGGGAACTATCCTTTGTCGCATTTGCTTCCATATAACGAATTATCACAATTTATTTTTACATGAAAGAAACCCGCAAAACCTTCAGCGAAAACAATTCTTAAAAATCAGCGGTGATTTTTAGCCACTTGAAACCTGGAAATTGTTAGACTAAAATTGAATAGGCTATAAAACTGTACTCAAAAAAATTCTAACACTTCTGAGAAAAGTTTGAAATTTTAGTAATTTTTTTTTAACTTTTTTGTAGTTTTCTACAAATTTTTAAACTTGGGTTAATATGGGTTTCGTTGGAGGATGAACTGTATTTCAATTGAAAATACCTAAAAATAAATAAATAAACATGAGTAGGAAACCATATCACTTTGATATGGGGGTGCTATTGTACTGGCCCACGATTGAGAGAATACAAAGGTTGCGCCGATCTCGGACCGCTATTCCTCTCTTAACGAACTTGACAGAATCGTTGTTTGCATGACGTCACACTTGTGCAACTTGTTTACGTTTTCCTTGCAACATTTTTTCTTCTTCTTCCATTCTTGCTCACGTTTTGGCATTTCTCTCTCGCAATTGCACCAGTGTGACGTCACACAAAAGTTATTCTCAAAAATCCTCTCTGATCGGCGCAATCTTGTATTCTATCATTCTTGGTACTGACCAATACTGTATGTGGGCGGTGCCACGCCCATTTTCCTAAAATTGTATGAGAAACAATTTTTTTTCCTTAAGAGCCATTGTGTTGATCAATTTTAAGTAAATATTGATGAACCCCTTAGCCACAATGCTCAAAAAATCTGCACGTCCGGTACACACACATATATAAATTCAAGGCCTTATTTTTGCTTAAATTGCTTAATTTCGACAATTTTTATGGAATTGCATTGGATTAGGTATCAATTTATTCGAAAATAAATGTTCTTTTAGATAAATACCACATATTTGGCAACTAACATAGACATTTTTGAAATTAGCGATGATCAAAGCTCAAAAAATGAAAAAAATAGGGGCTCATTAAAATTTAACCGATGAAAACTCCCAACAAGCTAAGTCTAACAATATATTGTTATACATCTTGAACTTGCTCGATTTTTAAAATCGGATGGAAAATAGTCAAGCTATTAATAAATAAGTGCATCAAGTACGAAAATAACGGTTTTTTGGCATAAAAAATGGAGGGTTCAGGAACTATACGGGACCTATTTTCATGTTGTACTCGACCATACCTACAACCTACACTAGGTTATATTTCGGGTGTATTTCATGACTTTTTTTTGTAGCACCGTGTTATCGGTGTTAATGCTCATTCCCAAGTAAAAAAAATTCCCCATTTTCTCGAAATTATGCCCCCTATTATGAATTCAGATGATGCACGAAAACCCTTGCATTCTGTTAATCCCTATTGCGAACCGATTTTTTAGTGTGAAATCCGATAGTTAGCATGGCTGATTTGTGTTGGTTCACAATAAAAAGACAACAAAAACCACGGCCTTTCACAATACAATACGTCTGTCGGGCGTATGAAAACGATAATACGAAAACAGATTTTATACGATACGCTTGCAAGCGTTTATCGTCTATCGTATGGAAATTCATAATAGGGGGGTAAAACAGTCAACAGTGACGCGGGTGCCAAGGCGCGAATGTGCTGACTGTTTGTTTGATGACAGGAGATACTTCACCTTGTCCTCGTTTATTACCAGACCCATTCGCTTTGCATCCTTATCTAACTTGGAAAAGGCAGAACAGATTTCGCGATTTTTGTTACCGATGATGTCGATGTCATCGGCATAAGCCAGCAATTGCACGCTCTTATAGTAAATTGTTCCTGAGCGGTTCAGTTCTGCAGCTCTTTATTATCTTCTCCAACATCAGATTAAAAAAGATACATGAAAGGGAGTCGCCCTTTCTGAAACCCCGTTTGGTGGCGAACGAATTGGAGAGGTCTTTCCCAATTCTGACGGAGCCGGTGGTATTGCTCAACGTCATTTTACCGGCCGTCTTCACATGCTTGAAAATCTCGCTTGCGTTCTGCTTTTTTCTCTCGCAAGCGAGATAAGAGTTTTGTTGACTAGGCATTTG